TTTTTTTTTTTTTTTTTTTTTTTTTTTTTTTTTTTTTTTTTTTTTTTTTTTTTTTTTTTTTTTTTTTTTTTTTTTTACAATAAGAGTATATTGGCAGCCCACCTGACTGCAAAATTTTAGGTATAAATTTTGATTAAAGATAATAAAATGTAAGCAACAATATACAGTTAAAATGTTAAGAATTGAAATCTTAAAAGTTTAAAAAGTCGGAAGAATCTTAGGCATGAAAATGAAAAATTTATCATTGTGTAATTACTATATAAATTGTATGCTATTGCTGCTTATCCTTAAGCTAGACCAGATCTATGAGTCCATGTACATTTATAAAATATATACTTGCAGCAAACCTTTAAAAAAATATACAGGGTTGCCACTCAAATCTGAAAAAAAAATTCCCTGTGTTTTCCCTGTACATATCATAAGCGATATATTAAGAGGAAACAACAATTACTGAGCTCTTGCGTGAGCTATAGTGGGCTAACTTTATATATTAGTTTTAATTGCTAGAAAAACAGCTGAACATACTTAAATAATGCTATAGTAAATGAAATAGTTTAGTATAGCTGAAATATCATGGTTAAATATCCTATAGATTACGCTTTGAGTAGTCACCATTTTTTAAAAGACAAAAGATAGAAACAAAATTCCCTGTATTTTCCCAGTTTGTAAAGAAAAAATCCAAATTCCCTGTATTTTCCCTGTTATTTTAGGTGATTTTTAAATTTCCTGTATTTTCCAGGTTTTCCCTGTTCTCCCTGTGGAGTGGCAACCATGAATAAATAAACGCTAAAAGTTAATGGTGGCATCCCATGGTAGAGTGGTAGCGCTTCGTGCTCCCATGCCAGTCCTCGTGCCGGGCAAGGTTGACTCAGTGTATCAATAAAATGAGTACCGAGCATGCATGGGGGTTTCATTTTACTCGCACCCCAAGGTCAAGAAAACTGAGAACAGTATTCCCTGCCCTTCAATAGGCTGCCGCACCACTGAGTTTAGTTTAATAGTTAATAACCTTCTAATACTATAAATAGTTCCCACTAATATTTCGTTTAGAAAAATTTGTTAAAAAAGAGGTACTCGAAAAACCGCCCATCCTTGGTGGTCAAACATTTCCCGCGGACAACGAATTTCTCGAATCAAACGTCCGCGCGGACGGCCATTTTCTCGTTAATGTTCGTGATACACTTTCAATTATTATTATCTTACAAGAGTCTAGCGCCTCACTTCTAAAATGACCCTCTAATCTAGAAATCCCATACAGCAACATACTGCGCATGGTGGATTGATGTTTTTTCTGCCTGGGAATACTGCAGCAGTTGAAAGGGACTTTTCAGCAATGAATTTACAAAAAAAACACATTACGTAAGCGTCAAACGCAATTATGAACATCAACCTAAATGGAAAACCCCTTTCAGATTTCTGTGCAGAAACCTCTGTAAATCATTGGCTTGATTGTGGAACTGGCAAACGTCATATTTGATTCATTTAAAAAATGCAGTACCCTCGGATAAATTGACATTCCAGATAACTTGACCTTTGTCATTTAAATTATTTCATAAAAGAAATACTAGGTTTTACTATTAGTAACCTAGTATTTCTTTTATAACTGTCTAATGTAATCCTAGTAATGAATAATTCATTGTGTAATTTATATAAATGTTTGTAATAAATAAGAAAAAATTATATTTATATTTATTTAGAAGCGATGGGTTAGTTTCAAAGGCGGATGTGTACATTGTTGGACAAGCCGTCCTCGGGGAAGGGTAAAATTTCTGAGTTTTTTCGAGCCCGGACAGAACTTATTGATTAGAAATGAAGGAAAATTTTAGTGCCATTCAGCAAAAGCACTAGAAAATAATGTTAATAGGCTGCCATAGCTGATGTGTAAAGGTTATTAAGTATAGTTTTGAATTTAACTCAAAAGACAAAAGAACTCTTGAATCAATCATTAAAACAAACTAGCCTTCACAGAGGATTTTTTCATAGAACTAACTCGCATGAACACAGAAAAATAATGTTACATCATCATATTACACAAAGAGAAAAATCACGCTAAACATCTCGATACACCTTGAAGACAACAAAGTTCTAAAACATGTCTACCTCTGAGGATATTGTGCACATGGTCAACCGGCGTTAAGAAACAAGTCCATGCTGGGAACCCGTAGCACGGATTATTAATGTGGTCAGTGCAATTTGAAAGCAGAATTTTCATCATCGCAGGGATTTAAACTAGGGTCACATCATTACAAAACAAGTGCTGTAAAATCTCCATAGTTTAAAACTGAAGAAATTTGACTAATACTTTTATCATTTAATTTATTTGAATTTCTAAACACTAACCTGCACCAAGTACTTGGGGTGGCTTCAGTAAGTGTTGGTCTTTTACGCAGAACATTTGAGGATTTTGGTTCTGGACAAGGGGCAGATTTTGAGGCAAGTTGGTGTGGGGCAGTGCGCTGACCGGCAGTGCTGTTCCAGGATGAAGAGTGGGGCCATAGTAGGGAGCTCCTCTAGGAAGAAACCCGACTGCACCAGGATCAGGGGCATCTGCATTGTCTGGTCCGACCGTGTGTCTTCTCACAACATGATATTGAGAATGGGCATTTTCATTCTGTTTATCATCTTCATCTGATTCCAATTCAACATCTCCAAACTAAACAGAAAAGAAAAACATGTAGTTTATAACAAAAGGTAACCTAAAACTTTTCCTTAAATATTAATTTGGGCACCACAGCAAACACTGGTTTAGATTTAAAACATGATGTATGACAATAAGAGAAATACTATTGTTACAGCAAAACAAATATTTAGTTTAGCTACTTTTTTTAGCAAAAATGAGTTTCAATATAGTTTATATATATATGTGTAAGTTTAACATGTGAGACAACAGCCTCTCTGTTAGTACGCCAGATGTAGCTCGCCTTAAAGAACTTTCTAGATGTAAAGGAAGAGGTAGTCAGTTGGAATTGTTAGTTGAAGTATGTTTCTGTGTGAAACTTGGAACCTGTGTGGTTCGATCCTGTGTGCTTAGAAGTCTCTGTGACTGTGTTATAATTAAAGAATAAGTAATTATTTTAAGTTGACTTAATTGATGGTAACCAACATCACACGCACACACACACACACACACATATATATATATAACACAATAAATACAAAAAGGATAAAAAGAAAAAAATAAGTTTTATTTACTGTGCATAAGCTGCAAGTATATAGAACTCATAAAATAAGTTCAAAATCTAGAGAAAACATGGAAAAAATTACAGAATAAAAAAAGTGAAGAAAAAAATTATTAAAATAAAATAAAAAAAATTTTTAAAAATTTAAAAAATAATTTAATAAAAATCCAGGGAAAAAAGATATAACCACTTCATCAACTCACACGATTATATCTACAAAAAGGAGTTTTTTAAATTTTTTTATTATGTTATTTTATTTAAATAATATTTTTCTTCACTTTTCTTTACCTGTAATTTTTTTCTTGTTTTCTTCATCTGCTGAACTTCATATACATATTATAAGGATATTTATTGTATTTATGATATTCATTTATTTTTATACTTTTTGGTTGAAATTTTCTCCTTTTTGCATTTTTATTTCCACCCAAACTCTACCCAAGATTAAAAACGAAGTGTATTTAAAAGCGAAGTGTATTAAATTCCATGCATTTAGAGCAATAGAGTCCAAGGCAGCAGGAGAAAAGTGGTGGTAGACAAACTGATTGCAACAGGCAGCTAATTTCATTGATAGAACTTTACACAAAATTCAATACCATTACCACATTTCTTTATTTTTCTTTCCAATAATTCATTCTTCAAAACTAATGTCAACAAAAAAATAAATCTACAGGTAATGTAGAACAGTTATTCCATAAATAATGAATAAGGGCTATACACAGACATCTCCATAAATAAAGAACAAGGACTGTATACATAAAATTAAGGGTAACTATGGCATAATTATTGTTGCAAGTAACTATTTTGTCAATAAGGGAAATGCCAAATTCTTCAAAAAAAATTTACAATACTTTTTACTATGTTCAGAAATTAAAACAGTGATTGTCACTGATTTTTTTTTCTTTTCGATTCACTGCATTCTTGCCCCTACATTTTTCCCCTTTATTTTTCTTTCCAATAATTCATTCTTCAAAACTAATGTCAACATAAAAATAAATCTACAGATAATGTAGAACAGTTATTCCATAAATAATGAATAAGGGCTATACATAGACATCTCCATAAATAAAGAACAAGGACTGTATACATAAAATTAAGGGTTACTATGGCATAATTATTGTTGCAAGTAACTATTTTGTCAATAAGGGAAATGCCAAATTCCTCAAAAAACAATTTACAATACTTTTAACAATGTTCAGAAATTAAAACAGTGATTGTCACTGATTTTTTTCTTCTTTTTAATTCACTGCATTCTTGCCCCTACATTTTTTCCCTTTATTTTTCATTCCAATAATTCATTCTTCAAAACTAAGATTATAAAAATAAATCTACAGGTAACGTAGCACAGTTATACTATAAATAATGAACAAGAGTTATACATAGACATCTCCATAAATTAANTGATAGGAATATGCATGAAAAACAAAGAAGATTTACGGATTAAAGAAATTTTAACGGACAAATATGAAAACTACTTTATGAAACAACGAGAAGATCTTAGAAGTGATGCACAGCAACGAATTCTGGAAATTCAAGAGCAGAATAAATCAACCAACAACAGAAAGTGAAAATAACCCCACAAGTACAGAAAAGATGACTTAGTGGCGATTCAAAGAACACAATTTGGAACTGGTTTAAAGTTGCGTCCAAATTTTCAAGGTTTTTACAAGATTGTTAAAGTGAAATGCAATGACTGATATGAAGTAGAAAAAGTGGCTAATTTTATTCATAATTAGCTGACTAATTATGAATGTCAGCTAATTAAAGTGGCTAACAGCACTTGTCACTAATTTTTTTTCATTTATTTTTTTTATTTTTATTTATTATTCACTGCATTCCTGCCAATACATATGCTGACATGATAATTAAAAAATAAATAAAAACTAAACAATGTCTGTTTTACCTTTTCCAAATTCTCATTCTCAGTGACCAGCTGAACAATTGGTATTGGGCTGAACATGGGCTTGGGTGTAGCTGGCTGATCATTTTCAACAGAAACTTCAGCAGGAGGTGATTTTTCCACTTAAAAGAAAAAGTTTTTGTTAACGTTACAGTGTTTGAACAAAAATGGCTACAAAAATAATAGAAACAATTTCAGATACAATAGTCAAATTAAACTTTGTGTTAGGCAACTCACCAACTCCAGTTGTAATACTAGCTTTTCTTTGAGGTTGGGCAGAGACTGGCAGATTCTGGGGCAATAAGGCCATACGTTGATGTTGCTTTATTTTTTCTAACAGCAGTTGGTACATAGCACTGTACTGGTCAAACTTGGTTTCTTTCACAGACTAAAAAAAAAAAAAAGATACTCAAGTTTTGTTGCAAATCAGAGTAGAAACTTATTTTTAAACTTTTACTACTAACACAAGATTTTTTTTGGCCATATTATTTTTAGTAATCATTTCACAGTACTTAATATTATACAAAAAATTATAATTGAAAAATCGATACTTTGGCATAAGTAGTTTATGCTCTTGTTGAAGTGCATTGAACAAAATAAAAACATGGAACACCATAATAAATTTTAATCAAGTCATTTGATTTATTTTTTTAATGCAATGACATAGCTGTTAAGTAGTATAGTTGGTAAGAAAAATTGACTTAGTTGTAAAAGCATTCATATTTTAACAACAGGGTGCGCAGTCAAATATTTCAACAAAAAATAAGCACTCAAGAAATATTTTTAAGCACTATATACATTAGCAAAATGCAAAGTAATTTTCAAAGATTTTAGATGATCATGAGAAAATAACTAGTTTCTGACAAAGAACTCTTTTCTTGATTATATTAGCCGTTATAAAATGATTGAGAGATTTTTCGGTTCAATATCAGAGGGTGGAAAAAAAGTTTGAAATTGAGCTTGCAAAATGCAGCAGACAGGCACATGAGAAGGCAATAATCTCATCGAACCCAGCTCAGTAGATGCACACATGGACTCATAAGCATTTCATCAAACATGTAAAATGATTGGCGCTTTCATAACCTATGGACCAACGGTACGCCGAAATGAATTGTGAAAACGTTGAATAGAACAATGTGGAAAGCACACTTTTGCATAATACATACGAAAATCGACATGGTAATAAAAAAAATCTCATTTTTGAAAATGAAAATTAAGCGCTTTTTAAAAACATCCAATGAAAAAAGCACCTTTAAGGGCTTTTAAATAATGAAAATCAAGAATAAGCACCTTTAAGCACTTTTTAAAAACGCTACGCACCATGAACAAATAGTTTATACAATTTTATTTTGTACATTCTTTTTTCTGTGGCACCTCAGCCATTGAGACGTTTCCGGAAATGTGTGGTCCGATCGCTTGGGAAATCGCGGTTTAAGACTTCCTCAATGCGCTTTTGCTCTCCAATACAACCAGATATTCTCCACCATCCATTGTCAGAGCAATAGACAAACATAACGAATGTACAAGATGTGGATGCTGCTGGAAAGATTTAGTCCAGCCTCCTCCGTAAACCTTAACTCATGGACCTTGCACGACAGATTTTCATAGCAAATTTTCGTACGTTAAATGGTCACGACTATCTTGAGGCTCACCTTCGCCAGATTGGTGTTTCAGAAGCTTCTGACAGTCTTCTGTGCTCTTCAGGCGAAGCGATCAGTTTTGAACACTTGACAAAGTGTAACTTTATGATCATTACTGATTTACCGATTGAGAACTATCTTTCAAAGGCTGTTTTATACTAGGCTGCTAGAAGGGAAATGGCTCACAAGGCCAATCCAATGATGCAGGAAAGAAGGAAAAAAAATTTATTTTGTAACCTAAAATATTATGTGCACAAATTAGTAAGTGTAATTATGGTTTGATTCTCAAAAATTGTATTTTAGTTCATAATAATCCAATGACTAGATCAAAAATAATTAGGATGATTGGTTCATAGCTGTCAGCATGAATGCGAAAAAATTCAGTAGATTTTACAAAATAATATAAATTTCATGATGATCGGTGCATAAGGTACTAAATATTTTACAAAAAGGGAAATTTATGGGTTTTTACAGTCATCAAAATAGAAAAACTGCAATATTTTCCAAAAAATGAACTTGAAATGTTATGTATTATGTTTACTCATGATTTTGAATAGTAATAGGTATTTAATTTATCAAAGATAGTTGAAAGATTATTCAATTAATTTTTAAAAAAAAGGAGTTCTGAATAAAATAAACTTAACATTTTAGAACAAAAAAAGTTTTAAAGTAATTTTAATAAATGAGGCTCGCTTCATTATGCATTAGTTCTTATTTAAATATATAAGCAAGCAATAATATACACAAAAATTCTATTTCAATAGGAATTTTTGAAGGAAACTTACTCAATTTTAGGGAATTTTCAAAAATATACAAAAAACAGGAGAATTTTTATGAAACTGGTAGACCGGTATAAACTGACAAAATCTAGTAGTCTACTGGAAAAAACCAGTAGAATTGGCAGTTATGTAGGCTTTTGATTTTGCGCACTAAACAAAATACAAGGTTGGGTTTAACACTTACAAATCAGAAGCATCAATGGTTAACACTTACACTGACGATGTCTTCTCTCTTGAAGGCAGGTAGCTGGAGCATGTAATCTATCACAACTTCACAGACAGGCTCCTCTTCTTGCTTAGCAGCGTTCACACTGAACTTTTTGAGAGTTCTCTCAAACTCATCATCTTCATCCAGAGTTATCCACTTGTGTTTGATTATCTGATCGACTGAGAGCCTTTTTGCTGGATCTACTATTAGCATGTGCCTTATCAGATGTTCACATTCTAGACAAAGGGAAAAAGTAGATTAAAAACTTTCGTTTTTATATCGAATAATGTAACAGAATGTATGGAATGTAATGTCAATTAAAATTTAATTGTATATAAAATAAACTTTGAATTTGAAGCTTAGTTCCACTTACTTTGGCTCAATAATCAATAATAATTTTTCAGAAGAAATAAATTCGAAGATGCAAAAACTTAAATAAAAGCTATTACTTATACCAATACTTATTTAAGACTAAATTCTTTACTAGAGAAATTAAAAGGAAATTTTATAAAACAGTTTCAAATAAATAATTTAATAACAGTAATAAGCATAACAATTAAGAATAATAACTCATGGTAATGAAACCTAAACCTTGAGGAATAAAGACAAATTTAATTCACAGTATTTGAAAGAAAAATTTTAATATTGATTGTTAGGAAAATTGTAAACAATTTGCAGTGGAGAACTAGAAACAATGTACTTAATATTTTCATTAAACAAAGAAACATTATTAAATTCATGAAATTAAAACGCTTAAAATGATGGCTGGGTCATACAGAAATTATGAACAAAAATATAGGGCTGGAAAAAATTTGAAATCGGAAACCAATGGAATCAAGCCCAAAAACAGGTGGTTAAATGTAATAAAAGATCTAACCACACTAAAAACCTAAATCATTTAAAAAGAGGAAAAATTGAACAATATTATTATTTATTGACTAATGTTGTATATTCTGTAACACCTGCCCATAATGTGTTCTTCGACAAAAATGAAGTTAAAAAAAATGGTATTCATATTAAGTATCACAAATCAATACTTAACCCTTTTCTATCAAACTCACATCTCACAGGTTTGGTGTTTTTGTGACCGTATGGTCGATGTTGCATGCCATGCGATGAAGAGAATAGCATAATTAAAATTTTATTAATCATAAAATTACTTACTCGTCTCTTTAAACCGAGCAATTATTTTTTATTTCTGAACATTGCTAAGAGATGGTGAAACTAGTCCCACTTTATTCACAATTTTTGCAGGGAGTTTTCCCAGGTTTAATTGAAATTGAAATCATTTTGTACTTTCTGTAATTTCACTTATCTTAGTGTTACCATTGTATGTGAAAATAATTATGATGTATAAGGTTGGAAAAGTATTTGGTTAGAAAATTATTTTCCAAAATATTTCAAAACTAATTTTATTAATTATTTTATATTCCAATATTTATCTTAAACACCTTAAAGCAATAAAGTTAATGAATATGTTATCAGAGGGTGTTTTAAGATAAAACTTGGATGTGTGATTAAGATAAAACTTGGAACAGAGTCTATATTGCTGACTAATTTTCCTGCAAAAATCTAAAATTCTTAAAGTTTAAAAATGGGGAATTACATACACATAGAATTATAGAATTTAAGTTTTGAACAATAAAAGTTTAATAAAATATCAACTTAAATTTTTTACAAACAAATAATTAGAACAAAAAAAAAGAAATAACAGATAAATAATACTTAAGTAGATAAAATAAGACCCTTTAATAAGACGGAATTTACACAATTTGCTGGTAGGATATATTGAGGAACATATTCATTTTAAACAAAATTTAAACTGAGTAAAACTTTTCTTCATTTATCAACCACCGTAATTTTAAAAACGTCTTAGCTGCTTCATACATGAAATTAGATCTGAAATATAATAATGTCTTCTCGTATCCATGGATTATCTTTAATTTCTCAGAGAAATTCAGAGAATAACTTTCCTAGCATGTTTTTATGCTTTAAGTAATTTTATACAAAGCACTTTTTATACAAAGCAATTAGAGCAAAGAATAAGTAATACAAAGCTTATTGCTGCAATAAATGTAATGAGGAAAACAAAATTTTATAAGATTTTTTGAGTCAAATCAACCAATGAAAAAATTCAACTACTATATAAATTCTTGAAACACCCTTACCATTAGACATAAAGTAAGGTATCCTAAATTTTCCAGCCAGTACCCGGTTCCGCAATGAATGCAATGTGCTACCATCAAAAGGAAGAGCTCCACAGACCAACACATACAATACAACTCCCAAACTCTAAAAGAATAATATAAATGTTAGCATAATAGCAAATCAAATGAATTCTAATGAAGTGAATAAATATATTCATCACACTGTCAAACTACAATTTATTTTTACAATAGATATACTACCAAATACTACAGTTATCCTACAACGGAAGTAGGAAATATATTCTGAGATAAATCCAGGGGTAATTGTGAGCTCAACTCAAAAATTCTGAAAATTTCTTGAGTAAAATCATTAATGACGCATTTCAAAAAATTAATGTCTTTTTAAATTTAAGTCATTGATATTTTCCAAACATGAAATTCTAAATTAATTATATGCAGCATAATTTAAATGAATAATTATGTATAAGTTTACTTTTATCTTTAATCACATTTATTATTCTACCAGAGAAATATTTACAAATGAAAAATATGCCAAGTATAAATTTTAGTTCTAATATTTCTAGATACAAGAATTTTTATACCTAAATGTAATCAATGATTTCTTGAAACTTTTGGACCTTGGATCGCAATTAGCAAAAAATTTGGAGGTCGGATTTTTTCCAGAGCATAATCATCTCTGCAAGTCTCGTATATACTGAGATTAAATGGTTAGGCTACTCTAACAAATTTTTAAAAAAAACTTTCTTTTTTTAAAACATGCTTGTCGGGTGCAGAATTCTTATCCACCAGCCACCCCTGGGATTTGAAGCCTCATTGGAAGGCGATCGCTTTATCACCTGAGCCACATCAGCTCCTAACAATTAATTGAAGTATCTTAAAAAAATTTAAAAAATACAATACCCAGATGTCAGCTTTGGGGCCATTGTATTGTCTTCCCTCGAACAATTCTGGTGCAGCATAGGGGGGACTTCCACACCATGTTGACAGCATTTTGTCCATTTCATAATAGTTACTAAACCCGAAATCTGAAAAGAAGAAGTTATGTTTTAGCAAAAGACAATTATTCCTTCCTGAAAGAGAAGGAATACTTGGTTTACAGTAAAGAGCTGTTTATCATAAAGCTGATGTTCCCAACCAACCTTTTTAGTCATAAAAATTAGCAATTTTGGGAAGAAGAAAAAAAATTAAATAAATAAAAATTTCTAGCCAGGGTGAGGATGATTTAAATCACTCAAGTTTTTAAATAAAGATCACTGATTCAAGTCACTTTTTTTTAGAATAATTTACTAAGTGGTTTATTAAAAGTAGTTGGGAATTACCAGCTTCAACTACTATTGTGGGAAGAGGAGTTACAAACTATGTCAACCTTCATCTATCAAAAGGATTCAAAAAGTATCTTAAGATAAAATAAAGTTAAAATGTCTTATATACTAGAAAATTGATATTTAATGATCTTAGTGATAGTTATGCCACATTACTCCCTCACCAGAATTTTATTTGACAGAATTCGATAAATGAATACCACTGGTTGATTAATGCTGTTTGTATTTTCAAGCTATTGGCTACCACTAGTTGATTAATGCTGTTTATTTATTTATTTTTCTTTTTTTAAGCTATCGGCTACCACTAATTAATTAATGCTGTTTATTGATTTTTCTTCATTAAGCTATCGGCTACCACTAGTTGATTAATGCTGTTTATTTATTTTTATTTTTTAAGCTATTGGTGTATTTTGTGAGCTAATCAACTGTTCAATGCGAACCATCCATTGATATCACCAATATGGGGAGAGGAGTTTTAGATTAAGTCAACATTCATCTATTAATGTCTTATATTGTAGAGAATTGATATTTAATAAACTTAGTGGCAGTTACACCACACTAGTATATAATTAAGTTCAAAGGACTTACCAGCAATTTTTATGTTCATATTTTCATCTAGCAATAAATTTTCAGCTTTTAAATCTCGATGAACCACATTCCTTTCATGGCAGTAATGGATAGCAGATAGTATTTGCTTAAATTTATGCCTCGCTTCTTTTTCACTCATCCTCCCATGTGCAACCAAGTGATCTGAAAACATGCTCTTTATTAATATCAAAAAGAGTTTCTAAAAGCTTTAATAACCTATGAACTAAAGGTACATGTTGCAATCAAATTAACTTTTGCATGTTATAGGAAAACATTAAAGTTCAAATTAAAAATATAAGTACAACAATAAAGGTTGATTCAAACTTTTTGAGTAAGAACCTGTTTTTATGAATTAGTAAAACAAAGTTTAGTTTATGAGATTTTGTGAAAAATCTCAAAATCAGCAGCCTGTTCAGTATTTTTGTAAAAGGTTTTGTTTTTTGTGAATAAGTAAAAAATCGACTCATTTTCTACGTTTAAAATTAATGCAGAATTTGGGTTTTTTCCCGCTCAGCTCCTATTTTAGGAAAATAGGGTCCTTATTTTGAGAAAAATATTATTACAAAATAGCCAAGAAACTAATTATATTCAGAATAAAATAAAATATTGACCATGGTTCAGTATTTCTTTAATAAAATGACTAAAAAAGTTTTTAATAATTTTGAAATAAAAATATAATGAGTATTGAAACTAGTCATTTTTGTCAGAAGTAAATTATTGTATAGTCCCTACACTCATAATATTTAACCAATCTGAGATTTTTTTTATTTCAATTATTGTTCAATCTAATCATTAAGAGATGAAAAAAAAATTTTGGAATGATAAATCTGAATAACATAAGATTTTTTGCTGCATTTAAAATAGTGAAAGCCCCATATTCATATTTTTCTAATATCTTGCCTCTAATTATTGAGTTTTTTCATGAAACAACTTAAGAGCACTGAAAATTTTAAGAGTAATGATTCAATAATAAAAGTAAAACGAATAATATAGTACAATAAACAGGGTTCCCATTCAATTTCAGAAAAAAATTCCTCGAATTTTCCAGGTATATCAGATAAATTTCAATGAAAATTCATACCATATTTAATCTATACCATGCAATTATATATTTTTTTAATATCTTATATAACTATATATTTTTCTGATATCTTACCTCCAAATATTGAGTTTTTTCGTAAAACAATTTAAGAGCACGAAAATTTTAAGAGTAATGATTCAATAATAAAAGTTTAAAAAAATAATATAGTACAATAAACAGGGTTCCCACTCAATTTCAGAAAAAAATTCCTCGAATTTTCCAGGTATATCAGATAAATTTCAATTAAAATTCATATCATATTTTACCTATACCATGCAAATTTTTATCAGAAATCTTTGATTTTTTTTATTTATTTGTCATGTCAAATATTAGATTTTGTGAGCAATAACATATAATAGAATGAGATTGGTAAAATTATCTGATTATAGATTTAATACAGGGTGGCCACTCAAATCAGGTTTCAAATTTCCCTGATTTTTCCAGGTTTTCCAGGTAAAACTCCTAAAATTTCCAGGTCAGTGTGCTTTTTGCCTCATGAAGCCTCATGTGCCTCATGAAGTGTGCTTTACTCATGAAGTCCAGGTCAGTGTGCTTTTTTCCACATTTCTTGTACCATCCTTGTAGGATGGTACAAGAAACGTGTCAATATTATAAAGTATTTAATTTAAAATATTTTTTTAATATTATTTTATCATCTTTGACTCAGGGGATAGAGTGCTAGCCAGGTCACCTGATGGGAATAAGGTGACCTGGAAAGGTTCTCTATTCTTTAAGAAGCCATTGGAGTTTCATGTGGCATTTTAGTTTAACAGAGTTATAATGGACCAAATTTTGATGCAAGCGAAGTATTGCTAAGTTGATGGTATTTCAACTGTTTCGCAATAAATTTATATTAGTAAAATTAAGAAAAATCAAAGAAAAAATTCCAGCTTTTCTGTAAAAATCCCTGATTTTTCCAGGTTTTTACCAGTATAAAAAAAATTTCCTGATAATTTCAGGTTTTCAAGGTTTTCCAGGTGGGTGGCCACCCTGTAATACTATTGCAAGTATTTACTTAAAGAGAATTAATCTCAACTGGTTAAATTTTAATAAGTTTCTATTTTTTCAGGGGATATATTAATAAAATTTTAAGTGATTTTAAATTTTAAAATTATTTTTTAAATAAATGCCTTTTCTATATACCTTACCTTTTCTTTAAAAAAAAATGCGCCCTCAGATAAACATCTGATAATTATAATTTTCAGTATAAATTATAGAAAAAAGCTTTCAAGTTGTTCATCAACTTTTTTTTTAAAGAAATTTTGTGTACAGAGAATGTGTTTTAGTATGCCTTCAAATTTTTTTTCTCATGAACTACAAATTTTTCTTTAATTTTGATAATGAGTGAGAATTACTTTTTGAAATATAGACATAAAATATTAGGAAGGAAATATATAAATTATTTAGGATCAAATTCAGTTATTTTGTAATATTACACACTTTGATAAATTTTTACAGTGTTAAGTGAGTGCCCTTTTAAAACTCTGCATTTAAGCACCTTTCCTTTTTTTATTCCCGGGGAGAACTCTGCAATAGAATAGTTTGAAATAAAAACAGTTGCTCATGGATTATTTTTAAAAGCAGAATATAACAAGTGGCACATTGGGCACCCGAAAATATGAACCATAATTTAATTGTCACACTAATTGAAAAATCTTTGCACTCTCATCTTTAAAACATAAATTTTATGAAGAGAATTCTTTAAACATTTGAAGCAACAAAGATATTTGCAAAGCAATAATAGAAGCTTGTGAGCAGTAGTGAACATGAAATAATTTAAGAATATTATGATTTTTTAAAAGAATAACATGATTAATCTAAATATGAAGTACAGAAATTTCAGTTTTCAAAACTTGCATAAAATACACATTTTATTAACTTACCAAATATTTCACCTCCACTTGCATATTCAGTAACCAGATATATCATTCTTTCAGTTTCCATAACCTAAAAGAAAATTCTTATATTATTAACTAATATAACAATAAATTAGAGTAGTAAAATAAAAATTTAATAAAGATATCTGAAGCATGATTTGAGTACGATGATTGGAAGGCTTGCCCAGTAATTTTGATAATTTAAAACGGTTAAACGACAAATAACTTAAAATAAATAGTTTTAATACAACTGAAATAGTTGAGTTTCATTTACAAATTACAAACAGTAATTTTTAATTGGACAAGAATTTTATAAATTTTGTTGAATGAAAACTATATGGAACATTTACAATTGTTCTAATAAAGACTATTGTGAAAAAAAAAAAGAATGTCCATGCCTTTTTTGTTGCAATTTATAATTATTTTTGAACGATCAAACTAATTTTTTAAAGCAAATTTTGAACAAATGAATATGAACAAGTCAATATGAACAAATTTTTAAACTACGGTAAAAATTTAATTAAAATAATCGGAAAAATTTGTTAAAAATATTTTTAATTTTTTAAAAATCCGACTTGTTTTGCATCAATTGACAATGTTGCCAACATCAACAGAAAAAAATGGTAGTTTTGATGAAATAAAAAATATTTTATGCTAATTAATGTACAATATAGAAAATATTCCAGGGGTGAGGAGTTTCAGGTATTTTTTTACAACCAATAATGGGAAATATGAGGCAAAAAGTATTAATTAACTTAAAATTTAAATTTCCTGCAATACTTTCTGATTACAATTGACATTAAATCTTATCAATAATAATCATTTTTTATGTCCTTAAAATAAATTACAATTTTGAACAGTTAAATAAAAAATTATGTTAATGTTTGATAGTTATAACACAAGTTTAAAAAAATAATAATGACAAAAATTTAATACTTCTTAGCCAAATTTAAATTATTAAAAAAATTTTAAAGTTTCAAATTGGATACTTTAAAAAAAAAGGTCTCGCTTCAATTTTAAATTAATAACACATGTTTTAAATTCTCAAGAGTCAATATAAAAAAAAAGTTGATTTTGAGAAATTCAAAAAAGGATTTAATGAACTTAATTTTCACAAGTCTGAAATGAAGAACAAAATTTTAGGAAAGAAAAGCTAAGAAATACTTCATAAAAAAAGAACTAAATAAAAATTACATAAATTTTATCACATTAAAATATACCTACATTTTATTAATTCACTAAAAATTACGCAAAAAAAATTTTATAGCTTAAAAAAATTCTAAAAAAATTATTTTTACAGCAAGACTGTTAACTTATTTATCTTAAAAATTTCATTTTTCATTTTAAATACTAAATAAGTAGTTCAATTACTAGATTGAATAACATTTATTCTTTAACATTGTTTCTGCATTTGTATATGCCTCAGGGTTCACATAAGTGGGTCAAACTCGAAAAAATTCATCCAGGTGTTTTTCATAGAATTCAAGGAACTTCATGAAAAACATGGTACTTCTTTCCCATAAGAAAGTCACATTGGTGTGATCAATATCTATCTTAATTTTACTTAATTTTATAACTAACGGTGAACAGCCGATCCAACTCTATTGAAGTTCAACTCTGCAGCTTAGTAAATTTGAATCGAAACCAGAAGACAAAGGAACTCCTGGATCAAACATTGGGACAAACTAACCTTTTTGTAGGACTTTTTGATGGAATTAACCTGCATTAGAGTTACATGGAGAGGAAACACATGGAAACCTCCAACGGTTAGTCTAACAACAGGAGGATTTTAACTTATGATCCCTCCCTCTACCACTGAGCATATTTTATGTCAGCACTGTAGTTAGTGCGATTCTGTCAACCAGTCACAGCTGGGATTTGAATCTGGATAACCGCTCTATCCCCTAAGCCACCACAACTTGCTTAAGATCAAGGGTGTTTAAATTTATATCCTCAGATCCAAATTTTTCTTTATCAAATTACTGCCGTTGCTAGAGCTGCCAAGTTATAATAACAGCCTCATAGAACTATTTTGCCTTCAAGGACATTTAAGATGGCTATAACGAATTTTCATTTTAAAAGAGTTTATTTCATCCAAGAAAAAAAATTTTCATTTTTATTTTATTAAGGTAAACTTGAAGATACAGAAATTTATCGCACACATGTTTTTATAAATTTTATCTTACTAATAACTAATTATTTAAAATTACAACCTAGAAAAGTAAATTTAGTGTTTTATGTGGTACTGCAAAATCTATGTTGAATTAAAACATGGGTGCAAGTTGGAAAAAAGGCCAAGACTGAAAATTTTTTGACTGAAATAGCTAACATACACAATACCCCTCGACATATGCAAACTATCTAAGAAAGCTTTACCATAATACATCAATTTTAAATACTGTACAAAAAACATTTATTCATCTGTCTTTTGATAAAATAACAACAGGACATAAGAAAGTAGACCAATAATGTAGACCTAAAAAATATTTTTAAGGACAGAAAAAAAAAATTCCGATCTCCGTCTTCGAGTTCAGTCTTGTTTCCGTCTTACTTTCGTCCGTGGACATTTTCGAAAGACGGAAATACATCCTGGAGACAGAAGATTTGCACCCATGAATTAAAAACTGATTAAACATCTAGACAAGAGTTATGATCCCAAATTAACAGTAAAATGATGAAAAAGAATTTATTTCCTTAATATCAGTAAAATGCCACACATTTACTTTTAAAAATAAATAATGAATAAACAATAATAATAAGAAATAAATAAGAAATAAATAAACAATAAAAAAATAATACCTAAATTAAAAAAAAAGAAAGACTTCATGCTTATAATTCGTATTTTTATGGAGAAAAAAAAATTTTTTTTTTTTTGCATTAAAATGAACAAGGAAAAAATTATTAAAATAAATCAAACAGCTAATTGTATTTACTATTTTAGTAAAGTTTCCTAAATCAAATTCCATTCTATTTCCTAAGGAACAGTTTGTTTCTTCCCAATTTGCCCACACAGAAGTATATTTCCTTTTTAAGAAGGATTAAGTAAGAAAATCCTAGTATTTTTAAGAGCAACAAAACTTCCTACTGAAGTTCAAATTAAAAAAAAAAACATTTAATAGTCTATAATAAACTTTTGGTGTAGTTATCATCTTGAAATATATTTATCTGTGTATACATTATATCCTTTTTTTATTATTTTTGTTATTCTTTATTATTATCTTTTTTTGTAATTTTTTTTTTTATTTTTAAATTTGCAATGAAGCAATTTCAAACAGAAAAAGCTATACTTATTACTGAATTATATTTAGTATTTGCAGTTAGTATAATTTTTTGTTTCGTAACGTCTAAGAAGTAAATATATTGCATAGTATATGTAATGAACCAACTGATAAATACTTACCAAACATTCAACTTTTATAATTGATAAAAATTGTTTTTTATTAATCTCGTCGAAAAACATTCAATTCTGAAAGCAAAGCTATTAAAAAAATTGAGGTTTTTGAATTTTGAGTAGCCTAACATGGTTCCCATAGTGGTAGATCAAGGCATGCTGGCCTACTCTAACGTTACTTTTAAAAAAATTTATATGAAAAAATTACTACCAGAATATATTTAAAAAATCATAAAAGATAAAATGCATGAAATTTGCCTATAAGAAAAAAAATCATTTCGAAGTAATACATAGCAAAACAGAATATTTATAAAAAAATAATTTTTAGGAATGCTTTTAAATGCTTGTTTACTAATAAGTGAATTTACAAGTTTTTTAATAATTATTTGCTTATAAATACATAATTATTAAAGTTTATCATTATTTTTAATTGTATTATTGTGTACTTGTAAGGCAATAACATACAAAATTTCGTATAAGCTTTATTGAATTTTTTATTTGAATAGGGAAAAAAGCACTTAAATGAGCTTTTTTTAAAGCCTTTATTGAAATACAAACTATTTTTATTTATTTATTTTTTTTCTTTTTAAGTTTGATTTTATTGAAATTGAAGATTCATTCAGTGAAATAATGCCTTATTTGTTATTAAAAATTTAAAATAGACAAATAAATAGAAAAAAGTAAGGTAAAAATTGAATAAAAGTAAGCTTTAAAACTATGATCTATTATTAGTTGAGAGTAAAACAATATTTTTTGTTTAATGCACATATTTAGAATATATCCATATAGTTTTATGTTTATTTAAATTAAATACAATTAGTAACTTATTGAATATGTAATTTGTATTACATAAATAATGAAGGACTTGTTCTGCAAAGAGCAGTTTAGAATAATTGTCTTTTTTTCTTTTCTTTTTTTTTATATTCCCTAATCTAAATTAATTTACTGCTCATTTGCAATTTGTGAAGCTTCATCTCAGTCTTTAGAAATTAATGAGAGTGTTTTGATCTTGGAAAAATAGTTATTACTTAATTCATTCAGTTATTAATTCATTTAGTTATTATTTAATTCATTCAGTTATTAATTCATTTAGTTATTATTTAATTCATTCAGTTATTAATTCATTTAGTTATTATTTAATTCATTAGATAATGATTTAATAATAAATTAATAATAAATTAGATAATAGTTTTAATTCGAAATAGTTAGAATATTGTTTTTAGGGAGCATTAAGCATTACTAACATTTATCATATCGGTGAATATAAAGAAAAAAATGTATTCATGCCTAAACAAAAATTTGGTTGAAATAAAAAAGGTAGGCATACTTTCTTTTATTCAAAAAAAATATATAACCTTGGTTTTCATGTATAAATAAAAGTTGATTTTCCAGAAAATGTCAAAAAAATATATAAATAATACTGAAAGAAATCTTGATATGAATTATCTAAGATCATAAAACCAAGATTAAACAGAAGTCAGCTAACTTTTGTTAATTACCCTTGAGAGAGAGAGAGAGAGAGAGAAAAGTGGACAAAATTTAAATGAGGTAAGGCAACCCACAAACCTAAAAACTTATATAAGCTTTAAGAATAATTACTTAGGAAACTTTTTCTTTACCCGTGGCCATATCCTTAGAAAAAACTTATACAAAAAGTGTTAGTATAATTTAAGAATATTTGAACAATGGATTCTACATTCAAAAGCTTGCTTATTGAATGACAAAAAAAACAACAAAAAAATGTTTGAATGAATAAAAGGAGTTTATTTTTTACTTCTAATTTTGTTTGTTAACTTTAAATGTGATTATATTAATATAGACTTTAAATGTGATTATATTAATATAGACAATGAATATTAATTAACTTAAAAAAATTTATGACTCATAAAAGTGTAATATCACGAAAATGTTTTGATTCATTTTAGCATTTTTAACTATATATATATATAAGTTCAAAATGAAGAATAAAACAAAGAAAAATTATATTTTAAATCANATAAAATAAAGAAAAAACAATAAAACATGAAATGAAATCTATAAAGCGAGTAGCGAATTCAAATGAACTTTGAACTTACATGAACAGGAAAATTTTCATGAATGATTTAAAATATTTTCGTAACAAGATTACCAGATTGTAAGAAATAAAAACAAAAGTGTAAATTGAGCTGTTTTTCTTAATTTCCTTCCTGTTTTTTTGTTTTCATTTATTATGATATATATATATATATATATATATATATCATAATAAATGAAAACAAAAAAACAGGAAGGAAATTAAGAAAAACAGCTCAATTTACACTTTTGTTTTTATTTCTTACAATCTGGTAATCTTGTTACGAAAATATTTTAAATCATTCATGAAAATTTTCCTGTTCATGTAAGTTCAAAGTTCATTTGAATTCGCTACTCGCTTTATAGATTTCATTTCATGTTTTATTGTTTTTTCTTTATTTTATTTTCTGTTTTTATGTGATATTTTTACTTATTGTGTTCTATTTTATTTGTTATAATTTTTTTGAAAAATTTTTTGAGTGCTTCTCACACTATTGTTTTGATATATTTTGCTTTGGCTATATTGATGCTATGTTAGAAAGCACTCTTTTTTGCAGTAAAGAATTTAAAATGAAGAAGAGTTATAGTTTAACTATCAAGGTAGACTTTTATAGAGGAGGCTAAACTGTTTGACATATCTTGGAAATATAATTAACAATGGTGGAACTGATGAGGATACATGAAATAGATTAAACAAAACTCAAACCAATTACATTATTCTCATTACATTTTGAAAAAACAAAAACATAACAAATTCCACAAAAATTAGATTAACTTTCAGTTCGATCAATCAAAACTTTGCATGGTTAAAATGGACCCCATTTCTGAAAGCTTTAAACAGGATCTTTCAAATTGGGCAAACTGTTTTTTTCATAAAATCTTCCAAAACATTTGAAGCTAAAAGAAAAATTGCTTACATAGAGTAAGTACAGAAGTGTTTCCATAATTTTGTACATTGATTAATTTTACACCATATATGTAGGTTAGGTTGTAACTAACTTGACAAAGTTAGTCTCGTTCCCTTGCTTTCACAGTGAGGACAGATAGTACAGAGAGTGAAAGAACATCCATGCCTTGTTTGAGATTTGAACCTAGGACCTTTCTGATGTGAGGTCAGCTCCTTTACCACTACACCGTCTGGTCAGCACCATTAAAAAAAATAATTGTGCAAAAAAACAAAATTTCTTTCGGAACTTGAACTTTTTCTCAATCTTATAAATCAAGTCTATCAAATCATAATTTTAGATAGTAGATAATTTTTAGACTATGTAATTAAGTACAAAAAATACAGACAACAAAACAAAAACTTCAAAATAATTATACAAATATTAAGAAGTAAATATTTTAAGACATATAAAAGGTATAACTCACCTGATATAAAGCAATAATGTGAGGATGGTGAAGCGTTTTCATTATTTGTATTTCCCGTAATATCTTCTTTAAGTTATCTTCATCTAGATGAGTTTTATCTATTATTTTAATAGCCACCTGGAATATAAATCCTAGTTTAGAAACATATTATGAAATTAAAATAGTAGAAAAATATGAATTCTAACTAAGTGAAATTGCTTTTGGATGATAAATTGAGATAGATCTTCATAATAATTACTTTTAGCTTCTTCAGTAAAACTTGCAAAACTGAACTAAATCACAGAACTTACTGTTACAGAACAGGGCTGAAAATTTTTTTTTAATTTTTTCCCCCAATTATTTAGGACAGTTCATATTTCTATGTCAGTTACATTAAGAAACAAAACATTTTGGATATTTGTTACACTTATTGCCATATGAAACGTCTTATTTTAAAAATTATAAATTTTCTTAAGCATACTTGTAATATTTATATTATAAGTTTTTTTTTACAAAAATACTCACTGCAAGAAATTTAAATAATATTAAACTTAACCTAACAAAATAAGGAGAAAAAAAGAATTTTTTTATGGCGCTTGGAGATAAGTAGCGATTGTAATATTCATCACAGATAAGACATAACACTTAAAATAGTAAAGCAAAATCTCAGACAAAGTTTTAGTTCAACTTTCCAGAATTAATTCTTTTAATATACACTAATAAACAAACCAATTTATTGATGAAAAATACCAAAAAAAAAAACAAATATTTAATAAGATTTGTCCAAAATTGAATATTTAGTGCAGTCCTAACAGCAAACAAAATGTAAAAACTTGATATATAATGTTTCACACTGGTTTGTTCACATAAAATTATATAAGTAATAACAAGTTAAGTTGACAAAAAAAAAATATTTATAATTTATCCAGGATATTTAATAGCTTTTTACAGTTTCAACCAGTTTTTATCACTTGTTATGTTATTGGTTTAATTTTAAATTAAATCAAATAACACAACAGAGAATAAAGTTTTTCAGTCTGAAATTAAACTTTATCAAGTATTAATATGTCAATGATAATTCTACATTGATAACAAATTATATAAACATATAGAGATGGGATAAAAGAATTATCATAATCAGATAGGATAGGATAATAATTCATTTTAATATTTTAGAATTGAAGTTAAGATCTAGACGACTTAAAAGAAAATATTTAATATTAATTTTATTTTAGACTTATGAACATAATTTTTTTTTTTATGATCATTCTAACATATTGTAAAAACTATTATGTAATTACTTAATTTAAATCTACAATAGTTAAAATGGCAACTTGTGTTTTGGATGATCTTTATCTTACTAGTTTAGAACATGCCTGTATATAAGAATAATAGTTTTGAGTTCAATAAAAAAAAAATTCCCATTATATTCAAATTTTGCTTACTTTTTTAAGTTAATTGACAATTCTCATCTTATCAAGAAATTTTTAAATAGACTCAAATGAGATCACAAATATAGTGAAATTATTATTTTAGTTTTCTTATTATTAAAACGAAAAAATGCATTTTTTAATTTTTTTCGTTTCTTTAAAATTTTTACCTTAATATTGCATAAAATTCAAATTATAACATGGGATTAATTTAATAACAGGACTATCTAAAAAAGTAAATAAAGGAAATCTTAATAGAAAATAAAATTTTTAAGAATCTGCAAACCCAACAAGTTTAAACTTTCATATTACCTTGGATTTTTATGAAAGTAAATGCTGGCATACATTTAAGTTGATATTTTGGCAACAAAAAAAAATTTTTTTTTTTTTTTTTTAACATGGCAACTGTCAAAACTAATTTAAAATCTAGACTGATAGTCGCATATAACGTTTAATGAAATAAACTAAGCATATCAAGATAAAATACAGTTTTATTCTAATAAATATATGCTAACACATGATTAACGATAATTATAAAAAAACATAATAATACATAAATGATAGTTTTAAGCAGAAGAAATAAAACTTCATTTGCTTTTCTCTTTTATTGCTTAATATTTTAACTAAGAGCTTCCATCTTTAGGAATTCTGAAATAAACTCATAGAAACCTATCTGTACAGAGTGTAATTATTATTTAATGTTTCATGTTGATGAAATGCCATAAAAAAAAATTTCAAATTTCACCTAAGATGCATTAAATTCAAGTCATTATATTGAATAAATTTATATACAGAGTTGACAAAAAGAAAAAAAACTAAATAAAAGCTATAAATTTTTATATATAACAAAATAACATTTACACTTTTAATAATTCAACTTACAACTCTAAGTTTCATATTTACTTTTTTTTTCACAGTAATAATAATATGTATTAGAATGCTGATCTTTTTTCTACAAAACAACTTTACAACTAAAGATCTTACAACAGATTTTTTGTAAACATATATTGATTCATATTTCCAGAATATTCATGTCATAAAAGAATTTTTTTCCTTAAAACACTCCTCTTCTTAAAAGACTCTTTACAACACACCTTTATTTAAATAAAAAAAAGGGATAAATTGACATAACATTTAATGTGCTGTTAAATATATAAATAATAATACTAACACATTAATGCAACTTTTTTAGGCTATGGACACAAGGTTTGTGATGCAAGAGTTCTAATGACTCTGCTAAAATTGTTAAAAACTTGCCAAACCCAGCATAGATAACTATCAGAACATCTTTTTTTGAATAACATCACAACAATCAAATTACCGTCAAATTTTCTTTTAGTATAAAGTGGTACATATTTAAAGCATATTTATGCAGAAATACTAACATGCTCGAAATTGGGGATATATATTTTCTAGTGGTTGCAAAATTTTTTGTTTAATGCATGATTCTTAGCTTAGTAAATTCAATTTACACGGTTTTTATCCACAACATTACTTCTAAATAATTCAAAGGTTTATATAAAATGCCACTTTTTACAGTTATTTCATGTTGAGCCTTTTAAAAAGATGCAAAAAGATAAAATTTTGAAACTATAGTTTATAGTTCTTTGTTATTATTTAAAAGGAAAAATTTGGAACAGTTGGCAAGTCTGTTTATATAACATAACACTTTTTTCTAGACATACATTTTATAGTTAAAAAAAGGAGTATTTAATACTTTATATTACACAATATGTGCACTTAAAATATGAATACCAAAACATTTAGAATCTTGATGTTATGAATTTATTCATGTTTAAAAGATCAAAAATAAATAAAGTTACCTATCCTGTTTTATCTTTCTCACAACTTGAATTTTGCCTAGATTACCTGACAATTACAATAACTCAGATTTAAAGCATTTTTTTTAAAGAAAATTATGATCTGCTTAAGACATTTAAATTCCTTTTAAATTATTTCAAAATAAGGAAACACATAAATATCGTAAAAATTAGAAATCTTAAATTGACTTACAAATTAGGTTTCCATAGAATTAATCTTATTAAAATGCTAACATTAAAAATTCTAAAATGCCCGATTAGCAAGCTTTTGGCATTTTAACTTGGATAAATGTCATAGCAAAAATTCTATGTTATTACATGTTAAAAATAGATTTAAGTATTGATATAATGAATAATATTCATATTTTAATAGCACATTACTAGTCATTTTAGGATAAAAATTAAATGCTACTTTTCTTATGTAATTAAACTTATGTCTGAAAAGTAAAGCCTTTTTATTACTTAAGACACAAACCACAACATGCTAAAAAAAGATTTGCTTGAAGCTCTATAGTTAAGCTGCCTTAAAGCAGACATTTTACTAAAAAGAAAATAATTATAAACATTCTATTAATTATGAAGAGCATCATTTCTTAACATAAAAAGATCAGGTATTGTAAAACTTTTTTGTCCTAACCAGTTTTATCATACATACACTTAAAAATTGGTTTAATTTGCAAACAAAAGCCTTGCAATATATATATAAATCAAATCAAATATTTTCATTTCACAAAATATGAAAACTAAATTAATAATTGCATTATCTTTAAATATTCCTGGAAAAAATGGAAACTTTCAGATAAAATAATTATAAACTATATATATATATATATTTATAAAAATAAGGTAAGAAAATTTTTGCTCCGAATTCATACTTTAATTCTATTTCCATAATTAAGTTTTTATACATATGCAGACATTAGTGCATTTTAACTTAATGTTTTAAATAACAATAAAACTTCATATGACCTATGATTTTGTGATTATCTAAAATTTTTGAACCAGTTTTTTGACACAAAAAAAAGTCAACTATTCTGGTAGAATTATTATTGAATGATTAAATAAATTTGAGCTAAAAACTTCCCATAAATTAGAGAATTAATTTGAAACGAATCATGACTTATGTTTAATGTCTTAATCCTAAGAAGGTAAATTGTAGTTAACACTTTTAAAGGATTTCAATTCCATCAGACACATCAAAATTATGACTTTTAATATTTTGTAGGCATGGTATAACTTTGCTTATATTGAAATCCAAGCAAGAGTTGGGTTAAATAATTTCTCGTAAAATGAAATAACATTAAAAAAAAAAACTAGCTAACGTAGTAATTAACAAATGCATTTAACAATAATGTATAACTATATAAATTGCTCGTTTGTTTAGATTATAAAATCACACCAACGAACTCGTTATAATTAAAGTTCATGTTCCATTTTGTTCGCCAAACAAAATAAAAATGCTCAAAGGCAAAGCTATAAGTATTTAAAGCTCCCATCAATTTGTTATTCTTATATTTTTTGGAATACCTGAAGAGAGATTAATTTTAATTATTTATGTCCAACTAGCTATTTCACCTTGAAATACATGTGTATGAGCGGGTGAGTTACCCACGAATTAATACCAGAAGCTGTTTTATTTAATAATTCATTATTGTGTCTTCACAATTCTTGATTGGTAAATTTATAGTGTTGAATGTCAAAATAGAAACATCATTATATTGAAAAGTTTGACCATCAACATAAGGTCAGTAATCAAAACATTACACGTGTTTGTAGGTGTATGAATAGTTATGAAAACTTCTATAGCCACTCACCTTAGTTTTTGTAATTATATGAGTGGCTAGCTTGACCACAGCAAAGTTTCCCTTGCCAATGGTTTTTTCAAGGTGGTAAAATCCAACCCGAACAAGTCCCCCACCAGAATTCGCATTCGATTTAGAGCCATCCGTCGCCATATTTGGCTGGAGCCACGCGCATGCGCATTCCAGTTGTCCACAATCAAGTCATGATATCTAATAATTAATTTTAATTCAGCAATATAAAAAAAATAATATAATAATTTATTTCAATAAACACAAACTAGATCCTCTTGAATTGTTATGTTGCACCAGTGCAATATACCGCATTAAAGTATCCAAAGGGTACGGGTGAGAAACTAGCAGAATTTTTAATGCGATAAAATTTTTCAGATCTGCAAATCATTTTCACAAAAGAAATTTATTATTGACCAGAAAGAGCTTGCTTTTTAGGAAATTCGAAAATCACACTTTTCAGGAAGTTATTTAAAATACAAACATCTCTTCAATTTAAAACATTAGAAGCAACATTTTCCATTTATGCTTTTTTAACAAATTACATAACTTGTTACATTCAAGTAAGAAAACCATAAAAAATCATGTGCACTCCTAATTTCACAGATAAGACAAATCCTTTTATAATTAATTTGCTATCTCACGCTAAGCACAACATTCTCTTCTGCCGCCAAGTTTGGCCGGTCTACACTTCTCCCAATAGAATCTGGGATTTCAGCTGCAACTGATGAACTACGATTGACGCCAAAGATAGCGCCAAGTGATAATCAATTTCGCCAATATCACAGCAATCGTAGATGAGAAGTGAAAGAAAGCACAAAGCTTTCGTTGAGAATTCGTCTTCAAGAATTGAGCGTTTTATGCTTTCTTCTTTGAATGGCGATGGAAGAATGATGAGAATAACCCTTTATCAAGTTTAAAAAATAACAAAAATTTCTCTTTTCTATTGCGGTATTGTTCGAGTTGAATAACGATTTCAACAAGTTTCAGAATTTTCATATCTTATATATTATGTCAAAACGCTTGGTAATATTAAATCAAAACGGTTTCAATTTTTTACATTTGTTAAATTTTCTAATAAAGATACTATTGTGTTTAAAATATGTGAAAGGCAGAAATTAATTAAAATATAAGGAGCAAGGTTATTAATAAACAATATGCTCTTCATTATGTAGTTGATGCTATTTTGCACTGCATAATTTTCTTAAACAATTTCTACTTAAATAATTATCCATTTCCTTTAGATTTTTTTTTTTGCTGGTTTTGTTAGAGATATTTTTTTTTGTTCTTAATTTATTTATTTTTCTTACTATACATAACATATTTGAAAATTTAAATAATCTTAAATTTCCTCTGATTATTATTAATTTTATTTTTGTCGTCTTCCTTCTGGTTTCATTTTATTTTGTATTACACTACTTTTTTTCAAGGTTTTTAACATATCAAACTTAAATAATCGTTTTTTTTTTTTGTCAGAAAGCGTTTTATACTTTGCTAGTTTTGCCTTTTTCTTATATATTGCACCATTGTCAAATTTACAAAAATCGGGAAAAATTAGCGCGTTTTTGACTCTATATAGTTCGGTAATTTTTATCGAAACGCTCTTGTAATGATATTTCTAAAATTAACAATTAAACATATTACTCTTTGACGTGAAAAAAAAGTTATATGTTTTATTGTTGTTGAAGATACTAAGTGCAGAAGGTACCAGGTAATCAGAAGGTTTAGATCAATTCTTCTGTTCACAAAAACAAGGATTATAAAAATTTTAAATATAGTTTACCTGTGAATTCTTTCTTAGGTTGCTAAGAAAATTCTTTATCACTATAACCATTGTTGGGGGCTAGGAGCTTACATTCATGCTTCCTTTGAAAAATTAATCAGTTCACAAATGATGACACTGAGCAAATGATCAATGAAAATGCATTTTTGTTCTGAAGTTTATAAAATTTAAAGCTGCCAATTTGTATGGCTTTTGAGAAATAATTTTCTTAGTGGTAGCAACATCAGCATCTTAATGTAATAAATCTTAAAGTTTAAAAAAAAAAATTGAACTACCACGACGAATCAGTAATTTTAAAAAAAAATTTAAGTGAGATCTATTTGTTAGCTCAATATGCGAACTCCATTTTGCTCCCCAAACTTTATTTTTGTCATGTATGTTTCTTAGTCTAATTTCAGGATGAATGGGAAAAGGGCCTCAGACTCCTAGTTCAACAACGCACAAACGAAGATCAGTATGATCACAAATTTCTTAATAGTTTTGTTTTTAAAAAATTCTTCGAAACTTAATTGTTGTTTTACCACCACTTTGTGCAATCTTTTTCAACGACCGTACAGGTTGGTAGGTATGTATTATTAACATGTTGAATGTCATGAGGGTCACCGGCAACTGGCACTGAGTCTGTTCATAGCACCACGGGGGTCACCGGTGACCGGCGAAGCCAAGATTATTAGAAACACATAATTCGAGTAAATTTTTAATTTTTATGTTATTATCATTACTAAATTGGTTTGAAGAAATGAATGCAATATAGAACACACAAAAATAGTTTTATTTATATACACAGAGATGCCAACTTGCTTTGGACAGCGATTAAAGATTTTCAAGTGGTAGTTCATTAATTGTGATTCTTGGTTTAATAAATTCAATTTAGTAGATTTTTATCCACCACTATTTCGAAACAATTCGTAGGCTTATATAATTAACCACTTTTCATAACTGCTAACTCTTCCGGATTTTCCGAAAGATTTTATTTTCATATTTAAAGTGGTAGCAATACTCGGGTTATTTCAATTTATTTTTTGAATTATAATGATAATTATTAAGGCCCGGATTTTGATGACTTTTGCATTTTTGGGCATTTTTTGTCCTTGAAGGCAATTTTTTAGATTTATAGGGCATTTTTCTTTAAAATTTTCGGCGTATTTTGCATTTTAAAGCATTTTTTAAATTTTTTCAAATTTAAATTATTTTGTTATAATTTTTTATTATTACACTGGCTCCCAAACAATGAAGAAAATCTCTAGGATAATAACAGGTGAAGCAACATCTTTTCAAATTGAAGAATAATTGTCAGTAAGTGAGACCGTCTTTTTCAAGTAGGCACCAATAACATCAGTAGATGTTGAAAGAAGCTTCTCCAGGTATAAAATTTTACTTTCAGACAAGAAACGCTTGTTTAAATTTCAAAATATCAAAAAAAATTTAATAATCCAACGTAATTCTGATATTTAGTAATATTATGAGATGGAAGTTGTTATATTCATTACAGTTTTTTTACAAAATGAAAATGTTTTGGAGTCAATATATTTTCCTTTTTTTTGTTATTTTAGGATATAAAACATATTTTTCAAACTTTAATGAACGTAGAACAAGTATTGCATTGCTTTATATTTTTTGAAATGACTTATAATAATTTTAAAGAGTAAAACATTGTTTCAGTTTAATATTTTTACTCTATTTAAGTCATGTCATAAGGCATTTTTAGCGCCATTTTCGCATTTTAAGGACATTTTTCGCACTTTTAAGGGCATTTTTTGCACTTTTTAAGGGCATTAATTGAGATTTTTTAGGTCATCAAAATCCGGGCTCTAATAATTATAAATGAGTTATTGACCACCACTACATATAAATAATTACAATAAATATATCAAAGCATAATAATCCTTGCGGAAGCGAATTTCAACGGGTTCAAAATATAAATTTATTTTTGAGTCAGATTGTTTTTCGTTTATAGTCTTACAACAACTCTGAAATTTCATTCTCGGAAAGAGTGAAAGCTGGCAGGTATGACTTTTCATATATGCAGAGATGCCAACCTACTCCGGACAGCAAATATATATTTTAAAGTGGGAGTTCATCAATTGTGATTCTCTGTTTAATAAATTCAATTTGGTAGATTTTTATCCACCACTATTTCTAAATAATTCGTAGGCTTATATAATACACCACTTTATAGTAATTATGTCATACTATACCTTTTAAAAAGCAAGCAAAATTAGTCTAATATTTGCAAAATTAACTTTGTAGTTAATTACCGTTCTTTTTAATTATTTTGGCGTGTCCGGAGCAGTTGGCATCTCTGTATCATACCTGCCAACTTTCACTCTCCCCGAGAATTGATTTTCAGAGTGGTTGTAAAACAATAAGCGAAAAACAATCTGACTTAAAAATGTATTTATATTTTGATCCCGTTGAAATTCGCTTGCGCAAGGATTATTGTGCTTTGATATATTTATTGTAATTATTTATATGTAGTGGTGGTCAAACTCATTTATAATTATCATTATAATTCAGAAAGTTAATTTGAATAACCTGAGTATTGCTATCACTTTAAATATGAAAATAAAATCTTCCGGTAAATCCGGAAGAGTTGGCAGGTATGCTGTATATGTCATGCTCTGCCGTATCAGTATATAACTCCCCTGAAGAAATTGTAAACATCCCCTCTTTATATTAGGTCCTTTCACTATTAGTATAAACTGATTTGTGACTACCGCTTCTGTGCTTTCGCTCGCCGCTCTACCCATCTTTCCATTGTCAACATTACAGGCGCACACGGGCTCAAGCTCATATGAAGGAGTCAATTGTCCGCTTCGCGGGCAGGCACTCCGTAAGAAACACCAGTTCAAGTTCATGTATGTCATGCTTAAGCTAATGTGTACAGCAATGATCCGCCCAATGCTTACCTATGCCTCGCCTGCCTGAACAACGATACCTCAACATCTACTGAAGAAATTAACCCTTTCGCACCGACTGTCACAAATGCGTGCCAGTATAAAACAGTATCGATCAGGGTAAAAAGATAAAACTGGTAATCAAAGTAATTCTTTAGCAGTTTATTTGTGGGCGGAGTTATAATTGTTTGATTTATTTCATTCACCATTACTTTGTTAAAAATAAAACTACTTAGTTATACTTTGAACTAACACTGATTATATATATGATTAAACTAACAATAATTAAAGTAAAAGCAAAATAAGTCTGTCAAATTAGAAACGACTACATTTAGGTTACCCTTTTTTATTTAATGACATCCTAATTTTTAATTTTGTACGAATGCTTTTCTGAATCACCCGTCCCCAAAGAATTAAACTAATGCCAAAGCAAGATCCTTAGAAAAATAACCTGTGCAAGATGGTTCATCCGGAATACCAATATACATGCAGACCTCAAAATATCAACTCTATCACAGCATATATACAAGCTAAACGCAGATTTTTTCGATAAAGCCTTTTAAAGTAAAACAGCAAATTTTAATGAACTTAAAATTTGCTCTTTAAATTTCAAAATTATATCAAAGATATAAACTACAGACCAATAGCTGCACATTTCACCTCCGACGCCTCATATCATAACTATCAAAACAAATAATTTCATCAACCTTTCTGAAAATAACGTTTACTCATGCTGATACAATTCTGAACAACTCCAAAATCAAACAAACACAGTTTAGAGCAAGCTGCTCATTTTATTTTTTGATTCCTTTTAGTTATTTAAGCAAAGTGCTTGAAACATTCATAAAAGCAACTCCACTGCCTGCTTACCTCAATGCTCAACCAAAACAATGTTAAAATTCCAGATGAATGGGATATGGGTCACTTCACGGCCCAGGTGCCCAATAAAATCAAAACACCAGGACTAGATATGTCATGCTTAACCTCTTAAAAAACTAAAAAAAATCTGTCTAATATTTGCAAATTTAGTAAGTAGTTATTTACCGT